TTAAAAATAAATAAATTAAATAAATAAATAAATAAATAAATAAATAAAAGTTAAAACAATGGCATTTTCAATATTCATTGGCAACTACAGAGCTTGTTAGTAGATGCCCATCTCTCTCTCAAAATAAAAACATACTCCCAGTGAGAATCTAGGAAAATTCTTTTGTTCTTTTGATTTTTATCAAGATCAAATGAGACAGAATCTTCTGGAATAAGGAATGACACTCCTGAGTTTGTGTGGTTTTGTTTGTTTGTTTCTTGTCTTTGAAAAATTAAAATCTGATATATACAGAAAAAGGTAGTAAGTACCAGCACAACTTAGAAATTATATACCAAGCTATTTCCCTTTCTTAGTTTCCTAAATTAGAAGCTGAAAGCTGAGCAAATAGCTCAGCAGTGTAAGTACCTGCCTGTCAAGTGCAAGGACCCAAATTTGGGCCTAGTACCTTAGGCCATGCAGGTTCCAGGCAGGCCTTGCTGTCCCAAAACCAGGTGTGGTGATGCACACCTGCAACCCCAGTGCTGGGGAGACTGAGACAGGAAGATCACTACAAGGCCAAGCTACACAGAGAGACGCTGTATCAAAAGAATAAAAATAAAATAAAATAATTAGAAGCTGAGACTTGAGTAGGGTGTTTAAAATAAGCTCATCCAAATGAGCTTTTAAGCTCCTATATGGCTATGTCAGCTGAAGGTCAGAATGAAATCAAAATTCCAGGGGTCGAAGAGAAAACTCAGTAGAATAAGCATTTGCCTGGCAAGTTCAAGGGCCTGAGTTCAATCCCCAGTTCCACCAAAAAAATAAAAATTAAAAAAATTTAAAATTAAAAAAATTCTAATACTTAGAAGGCATTATCAACTATCTAGCGATGGAAGCTTGTTTTTATATATATTTCTAAAAGAGTAGTAGGATACAAAAGTGACTAAATTTTAGCTAGTTATCTCTGAAGTATTATCTCAGCTTGGGATGCTTGGCAAACATAGTCATTGTACAAATCCTGCTTCATTCAAGTCTTTGACAAACTGTTTAGAACAGCCTACTATGACTCTGCATGCCTTGCTTGGCACCTGGAACACCATTCAGCAGCTCGTGCACAAGGATTTAAAGAACTGTCAAGTATTTCACTTCAATCAAGATTCATCTGTCAGGCAAAACAAATCAAAAATGTAAGGGCAAATCTCATTTTTTTTCCTTCTAAAATTAAGTCAATGTAATAAAATCTAACCAAAATTCCCAGATGACCACTAAAAATGTTAGGGGCTCACAATCCCACCCCATTAAGGAGGGGAAGGGAACTAAAGCATCTAAAGAAATGGAGATTTAATAGTACTGACCTTGGATCTAAACTTGTATGATTCAGGGCCTAGAAAAATCTGTTGATTGCTTAACTGTTCTTATGGCTCACCTGGATGAAACCCAAATAAGTTCAAAACCACTGAGCAGTACAAACCATATGGTTCATGCTCTCAGCCAAGAGGTTGAGGCATTTATTTCACTCTGCTCAGCAGTCATCACAGCTGACTGCCCAGGACACTAAGAAGGAAAGTCAATTTATCCTTCCTCTTTTTGCCACTCCCTACCCAACGTTCTTCCTACCCTCCCTCTCCCCTCAATCAAGTGGAATGTATTTCTAAAAATAACCCATGGAAAATAATGCTTGCAACTAGTTCAAGAAGAAAGAAACTAGTGTGGTTTCTTTAAAAGCAAGGGTCAAAGAAGGACCAAGACAGGAGAGTCACCTTGGAGTGATTCCCGACAAAGCAACCTTAAGTGAACTTAAGTTCCCTGGACTTTTGGGTGCCTGATTTAGAGAGGAATTTACCAGATGGGTTTATTGAGATAGACTTTTAACAGCAAGCTTAACAGTTGTAAGGACAGAAGCTGAGAGGCTGTCAAGAAATTTACAGAAAAGTAGAGAAGAGGTGAAATACAGTTCAGCCATAAAAAGGAATAAAGTGATAATACATGCTACAAAGAGAGTAAACTTGGAACTATAATCCAGTGTCACTTATATGAAATATCTCCCCAGCCCACAGTTGTCTGATGGATACTGGTATTCCTTTCGTAACTATAAAGAAGCTTTGCAACTAGACAGAAATGATGAACTGTATATTTGTTCTCTGTAAAGTCACCTTTGGCAAGAAGTGGAGAAGACCACAGGCCTAAGTAACCATGAATATCACTAAATGTGGTAATACGGGAAAGCTGACTGTTGGCCTTCTGTGCCAGCTCCCTTTAGAACGTTGTCCTGCTAGCTATGAAGACAGAGGTCTGGTGGAGCAAGACAATCCTATTCACACACAGACTACTAGTTGTGGTTGAGGTTTTTGATGCATCTTACTCACTCTTTTATCTGTAATTGTTTACAAACAAATGTTACCACCTTTATATATGCCAAAATTGATCTACTGTGTTGATCTAATAGTATAAAATACTCAGTGATAATTATAACCAATATATATCATATCATTAAAAGATTCAATTTGTTGTTCTGAAATGAGTCTCGCTAGGTAGTTCGATTTTTTGTTTTTCAGCTGCTCATATTGCATTTTTTCAAACAAATATTCTGGCTGGAAATTTTCTGTTTTATTGTCTGGAGGTATCTACATAGTGCTTTTAAAAAAGATCATAATATGAGTTTGCAAACAACTTTAGGTTGATAGATATCTTCTTTCAACATATTAAAAATAAAGTTACATAGTTTTCTGGCTTATATACTTGCTATTGAGTAGACTGCTTTTAAAAAAATTGTCTTTGTTAGTCTTTATTGTCACTAAAATGCTTTAAATATGAGTTTCTCTTTAATTTATCTTGGCAGGTTCTTGGACCTGTGGATTGATGTCTTTTCAATTTTACAAAATTCTAAATCATTGGTTCCTCAAATATTGCTTCACTTCCTTGTTTTATTTCTCTCCAAAAGTCAGACTAGACATGCTAGTACTCTTCCATATACTACATTAAGCTAAATTATCTCCTTGGAATTTCTTAGAACACATGGATTTTGCAAGCTTTGCCAATTAGCATACTCATTAGCTTGTCACCAAACATTTTAAGACTCAACACTACAATTCAAGAACAACAAATATCTTTGAAAATTTTAGAGTATAGTAACTTAGAGAGAGCATACCTATTTGAAGCTTTATGTGAAGAGCTTCCTGTGAGACTCTCCACCTAAATAAAGCCTGAGTTTTGATTCCTGTCCCAGTGAGGATCATGTTGTAATTATACACTATAAAAGTCTAAGAGATAGTTTTCAAATAGATACATATTATAGTCTTAATGAAAGATGACTGCTGGAGTTCTACAGTATGTAATCTGCATAATTATAATATGGCCCTATTTCCATCCCAATGTATTATGTTTTATATCTAGATGTTTCCTCCAAAGAAAGTCTTAGACTCAAAGATAGGGCTTTGGGAGGTGCCTAGTTTATGGGGACATTCATTATACATGACTTCCTGTTAAGAGATGGGGGTCTGTCCAGCAGAGGCATGTCACTGTGTGCATCAACCGCAAGGGTCTCTCTGTCTCTCATCTGTCTGACTGTCTCTGTCTCTCCCTCCTTCCTTCCCTCCCTCCCTTCTTCCCTCTCTCCCCCTCTTCTTCCTTGCTCCATAATGTGAGCCACCTTCCTCCACCCAGACCGTTCCCACCCTTCCTGCCTCAAAGCCAGCCAACTGTGTGATAAAAAACAGAAGCCAAAATAAACCATTCCTTCCTTAAGTTGCAGGTGTCAGGTATTGTGTCTCAGCGATGAGGAAAGTGGTTGATACCACAAGATGGTCAAAACTGAAGTTCAACTTCACCAGGTTCAGTAAATGCCCAGTGAGAGCACTGGGGAAAGCAGGGTTCAGAGCTTCGGTTTTATAATACTGTAATTGACAGAACTTGAATGAAGAATACACTATCTCACTCACTTTGAAGTCGTTAAGAGAGTAGGTGTTTTAATATGCTAGGAATTGAATTGATTTGCTAATTATCATTTTAAAAAATCCACCATTTGCCCCAGTAAAAGAAATGTAAGTTGAGAGCTGGCAAACTAGCTCAGCAGACTAAGCACCTTCATCAGCAAGTGCAGGGACCAGTATTCAATCCCTGGCACCATATGCCCCACCCTCCACCCCCCAGGCATGCTAAGCCAGCCACAGAGACTGGTTGTGGTAGCACACGTGGTGGCACATCTGTAATCCCAGCACTGGGGAGGCTGAAAACAGAAGGATAACTGAGTCCGAGCTGCATAGTGAGACCCTGTACCAAATACAAGAGAGAGAGAGAGAGAGAGAGAGAGAGAGAGAGAGAGAGAGAGAGAGAGAGAGAAAAAGAGGGTTTACTGTTTCTCTCTGTTTATTTTTAGATGTGGACTTTCCAATTGTCCTCCAGCCTACAAACGCAAATGAGAAGACACAACTAATTGGAGAAGGACCTCGAAACTACTGCACAGACTCCTGATGTCAAGCCGCTGAGGGTCCAAAGTGCTTGCTCTCCATTCAGCCAAGTCTCTAGGTGGTTGTGGGAGGACAGGAACATAAAATGCTGGGAGCTTTTAAAAATTTGTATTTTGCTTTCAGGTTAGGGGAAGATGGTTGTTATATAACTTTCTCAGAATGCAGACTTTCTCTTTGAGCAAAACTTTCTAATGAAGCACATTCAATTTTGCTGAATAAAGGCCTAAGGACTCATTTTATGCTCTTTGCATAGGGTGAAACCATGGCATTAGACAGTCATCTTGAGCCTGTCTTAACGTGACAGTCTTACTATGAGCTAGACTTTTAAGCCTCAGTATGAGCCAGACTTTATTCTCAGACTGAAGTAGTATCCCAAAACAAACACACTTTTAGCTTACTTAACTAAATGCAATATTTGTAGATGCTACAAATACCAGAAAAATATACAAGAGAATTTGGAGAAATAATTTCACAAAAGAGTTCTTATTTGGTCCACATTTAGTATGTAACAGAAATATTTCAAAAAGCAGGAAGATATTATTATATTTAAAAGAACAGATCACCTGTTTTAAGATATATTTTTAGAAAATTAAAAATTGGCATCTATTGAAAATTGACAAGTAAAAACAGAAAACAAAAGGTTTTGTGCGTGCTATTAGAGTGGCTTAAAAACAAAAATAGCTGCAACCTGGCTAAATATTATCTATAATCCAGAAAATCTTTCCAAGCCTGTACTGTCCCCAAACAATATGTTAACATTTTTTAGTAAAATACTTTTTTGTATGAATGGCCAAGATTCACCACCCTAAGGAAAGGAAACATATGAGATAAAGGGTATAATTCTAAAGTCTATAAGTTTAATTTTAAAGGCATATCATCCCATTTTTAGTGGAATTAATTACATTGACCAAAAATATTCAGCTGTGCTCATTCTGGGCAGGCTAAACTCAGAAGTCATGTCTGCATTTTCTTGTTTGATTCTTAAATTCATTGTGTGGTAGAAACCATGTGCTATTTCTAAAACAGTACAGCAAGCAAAACTTTTGAGTCCCTCTTAGTTCTTTACATGACATTGCATTTTCAAGATCTTGTTATATTTTTATATAATATTGCATGAAATGCTATCTTCTTTTTTCTTTCTTATTCCCCCACCACCAAATTATAGTCAATTGCTGCTAAATATATATTGTAAGTGAAAATTAGTATCATAATTCTGACAGTTCTGAAGTCATTAAAACTTTGTTCAAACTCTTGAATTACTGAACTTATGATTTTACATAATCAAATAGGAAGAGGCCACTTAGCAGGACAAATGTGGTAAGCTAACCCTCGCCTCCTTGGTACCACTCTCGCCCTTGCTTATATCACATCTAGCAAGATGCCAGGGAGGTGGCCTTAAGTGGGAAGGAGGACATGTTCCTGCCTGTAACATGCTCTCATGTGAAAGCACCATGGAGCTTCATTACCCTTCTATGAAGAACATGAAGTGTTGGATGAAAACAGTCAAATTTTTAAAAACCTGATGGGAAAGTTCAGTGTGGTGTTCTGTAACTTACTCACAGGGACATGGGCCTCATGCATCTCCCCTCATCCTATGTCACTGTAAGGTGGGTAAAACATCTGTGCTGCACTGTGCCGAATCACAATATGTACCAACTCTTTTAAGGTAGAATTGGCTGACCATCTGCAGGTCCCTCCCTGTAGTAAAATATTTACTAGAGGGCAGCAGAGGAATGCATATCTTAAAGTCAGAAAATTTGAGGTGTGTGTATTTATTTTCCTTTTATAAACAAGATGTCTTTTTTAAGTCATCAAAATCATTTCAGCAAAAGACTTCTATTGGGGCAAGTTACAAAATAAAACAAAGAGACACTTTTGTAAAAAGCTGAGACACCCTTTCTAATCTAACCCTTCACTACCTCTGGGCCCAAGTGAGATGATAAGAAAACTAATCTCTGACTCTGATTTCATATCTACACACACCACTTTCTGAATTGCTGTGAGGCCAGATAAAATGCCTAGCACGAAAGCACTTGAAAAGTCAACTGTCTAACAAATGTGAAGTGATTCTACACAATTACGGGTATGTTGACACAGACATACATAATGTGCTTTCTTATCCACATAAGAACTACCCAATGATATCCATGAAGATGGCCAGTACGAATAGCCCTAAAATTAGAACAATGCTTGGAACTCTGTACTCAACAAACAAATGCTACTTTGCCTTTGGAGGAAAGAGTAGGTTACGTACCTCAATCTGTTGATAATTTCAGCCACGATGTTTCCTTCCTGTGTTTGCTCTAAGCAGAAGTCAGGCTTATTTTGAATAGCAACTTACAAATCACAACACTGACCTCTTTCCTCCAGATGTCCTTTTCTTTCTCATGTGAATTTTTACTCCCATTTTCAGCTTGTCTGGAAGCTAGTCCAGCAGTGGTTAACACGAGAACAGAGGATGAATCTGAATCAGAATCAGATGGCAGAATCCAGTTCCAGGGAGAAGTTCTAGCTAGTGTTCTCCATAAAGGGCCAGCTTCCAGTTACAGCCATGCAAGTACACAAACACCTATCAGTGAGGGAATGAACACCCCCCGACGCCCTTCAGCTAAAGGGAAAAAATGAGACAGTCTCCATCTGAGGAGACACATAAGCATCTTGAGGAAGTCAACAGCAGCTGCCAGCCAGAAAGACCTAAAGTCACTCTAAGCAAGCACCTTAGCAGAGAAGAGTCAAGGGAAGAAGGGATATGCTGACTGTGAGCTTTGGGCCTCAGCAAGCAGAGTCAAGCGATCGGCCCAGGTCAGGGCCTCCTTCCTAATCCTGGGACCACAGTGGGGGAGTTCATAAAGGGTTTCCAGAGTTATCCATTTATTTTCTTACCATCTTATGTTAGGTAGTAATGAAAAGTACATATTCGGTTATAATTTGCCAAAATACACACCTTAATTTTTTGAGAATTAAATCTGTTTCTACATTTAAAATGATATATAGACTAAAACATGTTTGACATGATCTACCTAAACAGAAAGTACACTTACCTGATAGTGTACTGCCTGATTCCACAACATACAGAAGAGGGGTGGGGGGCTTGTGTGAGGCTGTATTATCTCTGTGGTAGGTATGAAAATAGTCTCAGGATGTGTACATCTTTTTTTTTTTTCTTTTTTTTTTTGTATTTTTTGTGAGGATCTACAGGCTCTTACTATGTAGATTGGACAACTAGTGATTCTCCTGTTTTCAGCCTCCAAAGTGCTGGGATTACAGGTGCGTGCCACCATGCCCAATCTCAACTGCTGTCTCAGCGTGCCCTGGGGGACAGGGCCAGCATGGCAGGCGGGGGATCAAACCTCTGACCCCTGTGTCTGCCTAAGCAGGCACTTTAATCTGCTGAGCTATCTGGCCAGCCCAAGGCAGATATGATTTCTATGGACCTTGAGATGACCCTAGTGTAACCACACGAATCTCTAAAGGTGCTTTCTCTAATAAGGGAGAGGGAAGATGGGGTGACTGCAGATGAATGGTCAAGAGAGGCAACTGAACCTCAGAGAATGGTCAAAGCAGTGCTTTGAAGATATAACAGAATGGAATCATCAGCCAAGAAACTCGGGCAGCCTGTGGAAGTAGTGAATTCAGGGAAATGGCTTTTCTGCTGGCTATGGTGGTGCTCACCTACAATCCCAGCAGTGGGAGTTAAGGGGATGACTGCAAGGGCAGGGCCAGCTGGGGTTACACAGTGACTCAGGACTAGCCTGAGTTACACAGTGAGACTTGGTCTCAAACAGAAAAAGAAAAAGAAAATGGCTTTCCTCACAGGGTCTCAAGGAAGAAACAATACTGCCAACACCTAGATGCTGGCCCTCACTAACATACTTCTCACTCTTGATTGTTGTGTCTCCCACACCACAAGGGCAAAGGTATTTATTTACTTCTACCTACTAAAAATGAAACAGTTGCTAAAGACTCTTTCATAGAGGCTTAGCATTTTTTTCTCACAGTGATGAAATACTTTTGAAATGAACATTGGAGGAGAATAGAAAGTAAATTGGTCATTGTCACTAAACTCCCACTAGCCTGATTTCAAAGCTGTGTCCTCTGGACATTCAGCAGCTTGCACTCCCTCATCTATGTTAAGGTATATTCCTTTCCAAATACTACCGTTTTCAATAAGCAGAGAAGAGCCTCTACACATATCCTTATCTCCAGAATCACTTCTCCCTAGCCTGCAGCCCTCCTGAGCACCTAAGAAACATTCATCTTTATCAAATTTCTGAGTTCTCTACTACAAACATAATGGCCTCTGTAAAACAAAGCTACTGTCACTTTGAAGGTGACTCAAATTAACAATGATTTCCAGAACTATATTTTGGACTCAAAGTTTATAAGTAATGATCAAAAGATACAGTAAGTGCTCAAATTAAGAATAAAAATCTTATTGTAGTAGAAGGTACATTAAAAGAATAATGGGAATATGGCCACACCCCCAAAATTGCTATACAGATTTAATGTAATCTCAATCAAAATATCATTAACATACCTCATAGATCTGTAGAAAATATTCCTAAAATTCAACTGGAATCAGAAATGACCTAGAATATAAAAAGCACTTCTGGGCAGGCAAAGCAAGTCAAGGGGCATCACAATCCCAGACTTGAAATTATACTACAAAGCTGCTGTGATAAAAATCTCATGGTATGGCAAAAGAACAGACCTGATGATCAGTGGAAGAGAATACAAGATGCAGACGCAAACCAATAGAAGATGCAGACAGAACACAAACACACTCAGCCACCTTATCTTTTACAAAGGAGCCAACCATGTGCATTGGAAAAAAGAGAGCCTCTTTAATAAATGGTGCTTGAAAAAACCGGCTCTCCATATGCTGAAGACTGAAACTAGACCCATATCTATCACTATATACTAAGCTAAAGTCAAAATGGATCAAAGATCTAAAAATAGAAACACTAAACTTACAGGAAGAGAAAATAGGCAAAAATTTCAAAGACATACGTATAGGTAGAGACTTCGTGAACAAAACCCAGACTGCAAGAGAAATAATACAAATCATAAATGAGATCTCATCTTATTAAAAAGCTTTTACACAACAAAAGAAATCAACAGAGTGAAAAGACAACCAGCCGGAATGGGAAAAAAATTGCAGCTAGCTGTCCCACAAACAAAGGACTTCTACCTAGAACATATAAAGAATTGAAA